ATATATATATATATGTATATATATATATATATATAAATACAAATACATGCATGTATATATTTAAGATAAATGTTATGTTTATATATTAAATATATTTATATATAATATAATAATATAAATATATACATGTAAATATTTTCAAAATATATACTGTATGTGTGTGTATTTATATATACATTAACACAGTACACATACATATATTATGTAAACAAAAACTTTTATTTTGGATGTGATTAATCATGGTTAATCGTTTGACAGCACTAATATATTTATTAGTCATAAAATTTTAAGGTTTAAAGGTTTAAACTATATTTGACAGGTCTCAACTTTTGGCATAGGGTTGAAAAAAAAAATTATGTCAAAGCCTATAGAAAATGCATTGCAAATAAAGCAGCTCAATTAATATTTAGTCACATTTCTGAAGCTTGAGCCCAGCGTCCCTTGTTCTTTCTCCCGGTGAAAACTGATAGAAATAACCTCCGAGCAGCTACACTTTTGTTTGAGGGTTTGCACAGGAAACGGATTACTCTGCACCTGCACGCCGCTCATGTCAAAGCGAACAAGTGCAAGAGACGACGAGGCCTTTGTAAACTAGACAGGCTTGTGCACATCACCGATCAACACATAACTGATAAAAATGTGACTTCAGTGTGAAAGGACACACATGGCATGACTTTGCACATATTACTTGCTCTGGAAGCCACACGCCTCTATTGTTACAGAAGCCTGGAGGCGATGGGAAAGCCATAAACTAAGCGGAGGGGGATAATGCTTGTTGCAGAGAGGGGAAGTCGATTGTTAAAGGTGGGGGGGGGTAGTCTTATCTCGCGGTTCCCTGAATCGTCAGGGTGGGGCTGAGTGCCCGTGATAAGGCTGACTCTGCTGCGGTTAGCGCTAGCAATAACACGCGGCACAGTGCAGGAAGTCTGAAGCCACACAGGAAGTTATATATAGCAGCGGGTGCAGGGGGAGACGGATGGGTCGCCGTGACTGGCAGCCTCGTGCAGAGCTGGGTAAAGGGGGCTTTATTTCCACACAGGATGAGATCATCGCCAATGCAGAAGTGCAGCGCTCATCACTTTCAGGACAGCGAGAGCTCTGTTAATAGCTGTTAGTGTGATTGCACTTCCTTGTTCTCCAAACCCAAGGGGAAAAACTACACAGCTGCGTGTGCAAGACACACTTCATATAGTGTTTCACTGTTAAAAGGGAGTGTGTTTTCTGCTGTGGGCGTAAGTGCATGTGTGTGTGTACCTCTTTAAGATGGTCAGAGCTGCCCCAGGATGCCGAGCGCTGGTGTGTGTTCCCTTTCTCTTCGCTCTCGTCACTCCAACATCCAGGAGTCTGAAACAAAAAGTATAATAGATGTGGTCAAAGTGTGTATGTGGACCTTGTGAAAAACAGAGGAAATATATTTTCTAGAGAAAGATGAAAATCACTCTTTTAAGCATAGGACTATCTCGCCTCTGTGGGACTACTGCTGTGGCCAGAGGTGGATTCAGGCCTGTGAAAGCCCCGCGTTCATCAGCCAAACAGACGTCACGCTTCAAAGCCTGGCCTTTGGAAACAGATCGACACTAGAAGGCCAAAGCGAACAGACAGAGTCTTTGAAAACCTTTCTTTTCTTCAAGTTATTTTAAAGGACTGACAATGCTAACACCATTTACTCCCCTCATGTTGTTCAAAACCCAGCAACATAAATAACATTCTTTACTGAAAATCTTTCCTTCATCAAATATCATTCACACTTCTGCATATTCAGACGCTTGGAGTGACATCACCAGTTACGAAAAATGGAACCAGTGGCTTTTTGAATAATTGATGTCAAACCTGTATGATGCGTCTTCATGTGCCATTTATTAAACCAGTGTTATTTTAGTGTCACTGATATACTAAAGTATATATTTTGAATTAGATTTCACATTTTCTGTTTTCATTTTACCACAAGTTTTAGTAATTTTGTTGTGATTTTATCATTTTTATAATTTTTTTTTATATTTCTATATAGTTTTTTAAATATATATATATATATATATATATATATATATATATATATAAAGTCTTAAAGGAACAGTCCACCTAAAAAAAAATTCAAATTTATTTCCCTTTGCTGGAGTCACACTATTGGTTCTTGTGGGTCATGTGACCGGCCACAAAAAAACATATAAAAATGCAAACACAAATTAAACCTAAGAGTAGGGATGGGCGATACCTCTTATTTTATGTTCGATCCGATACCGATATTTTCAAGTCCAGTATCGTCGATATCGATACCGATACCGATACTTCTAAACTAAACTGATCTTTTAAATGATTGAAAGAATATATAATCAGTAATTATACTCACTTAATATTAGCTTTTAAAGCCATGTTTTTTTAACATATGCCTTTTTTGTTTACACTTTTAGAAATAAAATATACTATAATTGTATATTTTAGCCCTTTAA